AATGCATTAGTGATGAGCCGACCACTGGTTTGGACTCATTTATGGCCAAAAGTATAGTACAAGTGCTGAAGACTATGGCATCGGAGGGACGGACTGTCATCTGTACTATACATCAGCCCTCGTCTCCAGTCTTTCAACTCTTCGACAGTCTATTACTTATGGCCGACGGAAGGGTAGCTTTCATGGGGTCCATCGGTATTCATATTTTATATAAATTTATTATAAATGTATAATAATTTCATTGAATTTATAGGTGAAGCAAAAGATTTCTTTTCATCGCAAGGATTAGTAATATTATAATATTATAATTATATTTATTTAATTAAATATTAATATAAAATTTTAATTTCTTCAAAAGCTTTGTCCAAAAACCTACAATCCGTCGGATTATTATTTACGGGAATTGGGTTTGTTTTACTCATATGCCTAATAAATATCAATCACTTTACATCATTTATCTCAAAATAGCAATAATGGATAGTAATTATGCGCAAACAAAAAGCAAAGTCAATGTAATATTTGAAAATGCAGTTAACCAGTTATTTATATAGATATATATTTAAATTGTCTTTATATAAAGGAAATATGCGACTATTATCTCGAATGGAATGCAAATACAGTCAATTCTAGGTATAATGTGGATAATATGTGTGCATTAAACTTGGCAACACTGGGGTCAGGCTATAGGGCCAGTTATTGGCAACAACTGGTTACTGTATTATGGCGATCATATATTGTTTTCATGCGGAATCCCAGTTTGATACAATCTCGATTTATCCAAATGCTCGTATGTCAATGATATTTACTTATAATATAAAAATTAGCGTACACATGCCAATATATTTTTCCCACAGTGTATGGCAGTATTATTTGGGGTACTCTACTACGGACAGGGATACGACTACTCCAACGTCGATAATATCAAAGGGGCTCTTAATTTGATATTAATGGAAAATTCAATGACACTGTCAATGATTGCAATGACTGTAAGCATTGTCATTTTATTTTAAACTTACTATGGATTGGCACCGTCCGTAATTATTATAATAGCAATTATTTATTATTTTCTTAATAACATTTTTTGACTATTTGATTTTTTGCATTTAAACTGGAAAATAGTGTAAATTTATATTTACACAATAGTACACTTGTTGATTTCTTAGAAATATATTTAAAAATTTGAAGATATTTAAATAAAAATAATTTTAAACTATATTTTAGACATTAATAGGAGAGGAAGCCTTACTTTGTAGGGAACACCACAACCGTACGTACGCTTTGTTCCCATATATGTTGGCGACCATTATTACACAGGTTCAGTTTAAGTATTTATTTATTTATTATTAATATGATATGACTGCCAATAATACGAAAGTGATGTGTTTTTTCATAAAGCTTTCTAAAGAACGTGTTTAAAACAGCTTTACGAGTAAAGTATAAGTTTTTATATATGGTATAAGCTTACTATTATTTTATAAAATAGTACACCTACTTTGGTCAACAGATTGACCAACTGTACACCATTGGGATGTACAGTATACTATTTAGGGGTTTTTGTACACTGTACTACATTCTATTAGTGAAAATATATTTAAATATGCATATTAATAGTAGAAAATTATATGAATACTGTCAAACCTTTAATATAATAATATTACCAAACAAAATATACACTATTAGGTAATATAATAAGATTATTTTGAATCTCATATAAATTTAATTATGAATCGCTCGCTGCAGAAGTATGTTCTTTGAGATACTGTACAGTGTTTTATATTAAAGCAATAGGTTATTGACAATTGCAGTGCTCATTAGAGAACATACTTTTGCAGCGAGTGACTCATATCATATATTAACTTGAACAGTTGGCTATAAATGCAATACTGGCTATTATATTTGTGACGATTTTGTATTTCATCGTTGGATTATATCTGAGTGCACAAGCATTTTTCATTTACCTTGGTGTTATTATCCTGTCCACTATTTGTGCCTGGAATTTCGGTAATAAATTATTATTATTATTAATGTCTGTATATTTTAGAAAACCAAATTCTACTTGTTCAATAAAGTAGGTAAATGGGGTTATTTATTGTTTAGACTTAAATTTTATTAATACGGTATATAAATTAATAGTTTGTTTGATTATTCATGTTATATTTCATGTTAAATAGTTTTTATATTTCTAATTTTAAAATATTTTATAATTTTTAAGAATTTCTAAAGTTAAATGCCTTACGTGATTAAAATTGCTTAAATAATAATAATTAATTATTTATTGCAATTAAAATAAATATAGGATTCTTAATAACTACATTATGCCGAGATTTTATGACAGCCAATGCAATACTGGGAGCACTTTTGCAACCATTGAGTGTATTGGGAGGATATTTCCTTAACATCGGGTAATTTATTTAATATTATACCATTAATTGGGTAATAAATGTTATTTCACGATCAATTATTTAGCACACTACCAGGGTGGTTAGATTGGTTGCAGTACTTGGCATTTCCATATTACGGATACCAATCATTGGTTGTAAACGAGTGGCGAAATGTGGGAAACATGTCGTCCGACATCACAAACACCACTCAATCGACGACTACTTATACCTCTGGAGTAGAAGTCATTGAATCCATGGGTTTCAAAGAGTTGAGTCTCCAGTGGTGTCCCATAGCCCTCATGGCCTGGACTTTGGTTTATATGTGTATCGCATATATCGGTTTATGTCGGAAAGTCAGACACCAGTGAATGACTATCATTAA